TGCTTCCGAGCCTTCTGAGAAGGCCCGCCCTTCCCCCCGGGCTCGCCGCCGACATTGGGGCATCATACAACGCAACCCATAGCGCATAGCGCACTGGGGCGTTGGCGAGAAATCACAGCAGACACATTCAACCCCTCTCGAGGCCAGCACGCACCCCAAAGCGCCGCTCTGGGGAAGAAGCCTCGAGCTCCGAACCTCGAGGTGGGGCGGCGGGCGGCTTCAGCAGCCGCAGCCGCCGCCGCCGCCGCCGCCGCTGAAGCGACCGCAGCGGAGCGCCGCCGCCTCTGCAGCAACCGCGGCCGCTGCAGCAACCGCCGCGGCGGCGGTGGCGGCCGAGCGCGGTGGCCGGCGGTGGCGGCGGTGGCCTCCGAGCGCGGCGGCCAGCGGTGGCGGCCGAGCGCGGCGGCGCGCGCCCTGCGCGCGCCGCCAGCAGCGGCCGCGGCAGCGGCCGAGCGCGGCCGCGGCGACGGCCGGCGGTGCGGGCCGGCGCGGGGGCGGGCCCACCCGCGGGCGCCCACTGCCGGGGCCGGCGGCCCCGGGGGGCGGCGCGCGGGGGCGGCCAGAGCGAGAGGCTGGGCGCCGCCGCGCGCAGCGCCGGCCTACCACGGCCCCTGGGAGGGGGGGGGTGGGAGGAGGGGAGGGTTGGAGGAGAAGGAGGAGGAGGAGGAGGAGGAGGAGGGGAGAGGAGAGGGGAGAGGGGGAGGAGGAGGAGGAGGAGGAGGAGGAGGAGGAGGAGGAGGAGGAGGAGAAGGAGGAGGAGGAGGAGGAGGAAGAGGAGGAGGAGCAGGAGGAGCAGGAGGAGCAGGAGGAGCAGGAGGAAGAAAGGAGGAAGAAAGGAGGAAGGAGGAGGAGGATGAGGGAAGGAGGGAGGGCGCGAGGAAGGGAGGGAAGAGGATAATGTGAGAGAGGAGGAGGGACCAAGCAGAGTAGCATTTGCGACAAAGCCGCACGACCTCGACACCGCTTTCCCGATGGCCAACGTGCAGTCCAATACCTAACTGGGTGCTTGGCAACAACAATCTTCGGATGAAGGGATCAGCCACCTGGCAAAATTTCAAAATCCACGAAGGAGATTGAGCACTCACGACGAAGACAAGATGAACGACATCATCTGGCACAATTTCAAAATCTACGGTGATCAACGAATCTTTCCATGCGTCACACGTTGCCAGCGAACTTCATTCCGGGTGAATCGCAACACTGCAAATCACAAGGCAGGCTGACCGTGCCATTCGCAGTCGTAGGCACCACTGAAATGTCCACAAGTTTGCTGCCTAGGCTGAACTCTGGCAACTGGTACTTAAACTCGTCTAGGAGACTGGACACGCTCAAAGCACCGCCCTCGGCCGCAGAAATACGCTCGTTTTCCTTTGGCTCCCAAGATGGCCACGCCCAGTGCCCAAGATGGTGAACGAAGCTGGACAGTTTAGATTCGCGGCGCAAGATCTCCACCGATTGAAAACAGAGGTGTGTGTGTGTATATATATACACACCTATAGACAAGACACTCCATACAACACGTGCATCCTTGCTTGATGTTGAAACAAAGTAGCTGCGACACACGTGTGGAACCCTGTGAAGACCCTCAGACCCTCGGAGGAACATTCGAGGACTCGTGGTGGAACCTTGGGAATGCCCTTCGGAAAAAAATACGGGAAACGAGCTTCCCACGGACAGCAAGGCTGCCACCCTGTTTACGTGTACCTCGGCCTCAAAAGCGCGGTAGGCGTAAATGTGGAGCCTTCGTGGGGCAGTCGCGGAGGCCTTCAGAATTGCTTTGACCACACTCAGACTTCCGAAGACTTGCATGGTGCTCTTCTGGGCCGCCTTGAGGGCCTCTCGGGAACGCATTGGGGCCCTTCGGGAGCTCTGTTGGACCGCCTTGGCGTCGTCTAGGCGCCGTCGTGGGGTGTTCCTGGGCCTCTTTGGTGTGTCCACTTTGCGCCCGTCGCTGCCTCATATGAGCGACATGCACTGCACATGTCCTGCGGCATTACGTTTGCAACAAGGCCTCTTGTGCAACTACTGCCTGGGGGGGAATCATCGGACCTGGCAGGTGGCCGTCGGAACTCCCGAAGCAGTCCGCAGAAGACCTGGAGGAGGTGTGAAATCAGCAGGGGAAGCAGGAGGAGAAGCAGGAGGGCTCGGCAAGGATTGAATGGCGAGGCGCTCTGGGCAGAAACAGGAAGAAGAGCAGCAAGAGGGGCTCCAATTGGGGTCGAACGCTGCAGAATATGAAACCCGCCCGCTGGATGCACATGCGGGGGAGCGGCATGCCCTAGCGCGACGTACGAGGTCCGAATGTACGAACGACATGCGGCCACATGTGCACGCAGCTCCCGCCTAAGACCAGCCCAGAGCACCCGTGGGTGGCGGCAATCCCCAATTGGGAATCACCCCCTGCAGCTGTGCCTTAGAACTGGCGGACCGCGGCGGGGATGAGACTGGCACCCGACGACGACGACGACGACGACGACAACAACGACGACGACGACGACGACAACAACGACGACGACGACGACACTAGGACGACGGAGCCGACGACACCGACGACGACGACGAAGACTGACGACGACAACTGACGATGAAGATGGCGACTACCAACGACCACGACGACGACAAAGACAACGACCACGACGCCGACAACTGACGGCGAAGATGACGACGACCAACGACGACGACGTTGACGACGGCAACGACGACGCCGACGCCGACGCCGACGCCGACGCCGACGACGACGGCGGGGGAGGCAGCGACGGCGGCGGCGGCGACGAACGACGAGGTTGACGATGGTGGCGGCGGCGGCCGCGGCGGCGAGAAGAGGCTGGCGACCTGTACTGCTGGAGTTGCGGGAGCGTGGAGATGAGGAATCGAATCGGCCTCGTCGATGCCAATCTAGGATCCGCCTCGAAGAAGGGGAGAGAGAACATCGACAGGCTCACGAAAGGGCTTGAGGCCGAGATCACTTCCCGAGCCGCCGAGCAGCAGCCAGACGGAGGAGAATCTTCAGGCTCCGATGGGCCCAGGGGGAAAAGCCCTCCTCTGCCGCCACCTGCTCCTCTTCGCTCCCATCGCCCCTCCCCCTCATTCTCCTCCTCCACTTCCTCGCGGTTGTCCTCCACGGCGCCTTCCCCTCATCTTCATAACCCCACCTTGTTGAAGGGGCCCAGGGACACACAAACCAACAGTCAGAAATCCCAGGATCCCCTGATGTTTCTAGATGTTCAGGATGTTCGTCTTCCCCTCCCCCCCACTCACACTTTTCATACTTTCCCACATCCCCCCAGGGAATGGACGATCAATTGTGTCTGTGGGTTTCTTCACTCCTGACTTTCGTCCTCCTTCTCGACGCCCCCTCCCCTCCACCACCCCCTCGGCTACACGCAAGAGTGATCCCAGGCAGGAGTGATCTTTGGTGCGCGGCTTCTGTGGGGCCACGGGAGGGCCAACCCCAAGCGCGCAAGGCGCAACCATCGCATCGCGCTCGGCGATCGGGGACCCTAGTGGGCCCGCACCAAAGGTAAATCAATCCGTCGAGAGGTCACTCTTACGTATAATGGACCCCCCCCCACACCTGTCGCACTGCCCCGGCCATCCTCGACGGGAGCGGTCGCCGCGGGGACACGGGTCGATGGCATGCGCGCGCCCTCGATTTTTCCGATGGACGCAAGCGCGCATCCTTGCCGAGCGGCGCCGGTGTGCACGTGCGTCCGTGCCGAAATGTATCGGCGGCGAGCCTGGGGGGGGGAGTGACAAGGGGCGGGCATTCTCGGCGGAGAGGTCTCCCTAGTGTCGGCCTCTGAAGAGGCCCCCACCAGGCCTCGGGACTGTCAACAAAACGACTCGGGAGGAAAAACTGGTCCTGGGGGATGGGTCGAGATTTCGCGGGACCAGAGGGGGGAGTGAGAGGGGGCTCTCAGAAGGCTCAGAAGTCCCCCAGCCTTCTGACAAGCTTCTTAAGCCTTCCCCGAAGACACGGAGGACTTCTCACGAGGCCGGAAGGCTTCTGAGAAGCCCCGCCGTCTTCTGAGAAGGCCTCCTTCTTCTCACTTCCCCCCTCGCTCGCCGTCGAATGCAGGTGGGAGAAAATATGAGATGAGGAGATGAGATGAGATGATGATGATGATGATGATGATGATGATGATGATGATGATGATGATGATGATGATGATGATGATGATGATGATGATGATGATGATGGTGATGATGATGATGATGATGATGATAACGATGATGATGATGATGAGGAGGAGGAGGAGGAGGAGGAGGAGGAGGACAAGGAGGGAAAGAGCAAGACTGAACCATCCGGTTGGCGTTGCCAAGGTGGCGAGAAGCATCGATCTCCGAGAAGCACGCTGTCCCTGTGAGGCGATCCCCTCTCGAGGGCCCCTTCTGTGCGCGCTATACATGCCCTTGCCTGGGCTTCTCCGGTGCACGCCATCCCCAGGGAAAGGGATCGCGTGAAGTAAGCTGGCCGGAGGCGCCACATCGCACGCTACCCAACGCCGGCCGGAAGGACGAGGTCTTTACCCGTACCCGCATAAGGATACCTACATTCCCCGAAAACAGCAAAGACCTGCGGACAACCGTCCCCGACCTAGTAGGCCGAATTGCGAACCCGACCCGGCAAGCAATCAGCTGCGAGACGCCGTGCGGCGAACGTGGCCGAAACTCGGGCCGCCGCCTCGGGCCGCCGAAAGAAGGCACGCACGACCCCGACATCGCAAGCAACGCCCCGCGCTCGCGCTGCGCGGCGTGGCGGCACAGCTGTGCCGGGTGGCTGCCGTAGCAGCGCGCCACGGGAGCTGCGCGCGCCGCGTTGCACCTGCACGAGCAAGGACTCGCTGAGAGGCTGGGCCCCACGGGGCGACAGGATGAGGAGGAGGAGGAGGAGGCGGAGGAAGAGGAGGAAAAGAAGGAAGAGGAGGAGGAGGTGGAGGCGGAGGAGGAGGAAGAGGTGGAGGAGGTGGAGGCGGAGGAGGAGGAGGAGGAGGAGGAGGAGGAGGAGAGCGCGGGCTCAGATCGCCCCCCCCCCGAGGTCGCGAGCCGGCGCCAGGCGTCCTCCTCGGACGCTGCCCCCTGCCTCCCTGCTCCTTCCGTCCCGTGCTCATGGCGCCGCCATGGTTGGCGGCGGAGCGCCCCCGGCGCACTGCGGCTGCACGCCGTGCGCAGGCCGCCCGTGCCTCTGCGCGTGCTGCCCAACAGCTCTTGAGAGAGTTTTCGGCGCTGTCGCATCGCGGTTGCAGTCGCACTCGGATCGGAGCTGCCTTGGAGGAGGCTCTCCGCCGGACCGGTGCGCCTGTGGCAGGAGAATGCGGAGAAGACCATGATGGGTGTGATGACGTTGGTCAGGCCATTCTAGCAGAGGAGAAGTGTGCTGCTCCCCGGCTTCCTGAGGAGAAAAGCAGCGCCCTTATGTTGTCAGAGGAGGAGTGCGTTGCTTCCGACCCTGTTGTAAAGCAGAGTGTTCATGTCGAGCCTGGCGAAGATGAGAGCACAGCTGCCCAGCCTGCCGCTGCGCCGTGCGGCGCTCATGAAGCTGCAGAAATGTTCTCGGTCATGTCCGATTTTAGTCAGAGAGTTCAGGATGCCGAGGGCCAGGTACAGTTCTTGTCCTCCATCGCTGCGAGTGCCCTCCCAGCTGACCTGAACCAGGTGCCGCACTCTGACATAGCGACTCTGCTGGCGCGTTTCAGAGAGGAGGATACCAAGACCATCACGGCCATTGGCGCGGCCAGGGCTTCTTCCCAGAACGTGTCGGCTGCTGCAGATCCGGCTTTCGAACACTTGCAGGTTCGTCTGAAGGCAGTCCAAAGAGCCTTAGTGAAGGCCCGGCTGACTTCGCGCCATTGGGCGGAGTATTGTAGCGAGTGAGAGGGACGTGGGCAGGTGAGTTGAGCCGGGCACGCAGCTGCGCTGTTGCCTTCTGTTGTGCTGGACGCGGCTCGGATTGCTGGTTGTCCTGGGGGTTTTCGCGGCTGGGCCTTTGGGGGCCCTTGGCGTCCTGGGGTCTTCGGGTTCCTGCCTACGCTCCCCCCCTGCGGCCTCCCTCTCTTCCTGCTCTTTCTCTCTTCCTCCTTGCTTCTCCCCTCTTGGGGGGGTGCGTTGGCGGGTTCCTGTTCTGGTTCTGGGGTTTCTTGGGTGTCTCTGGGGTCCCTCGTCGCCTCTGTCTTCTTCCTGCTCGATCTCGTTCTCTTCTCTGTATAGGCGTCGAACCGTCCGCCTCATGATGAATGAATGAATGAATGAATGAATGAGGAGGAGGAGGAGGAGGAGGAGGAGGAGGAGGAGGAGGAGGAGGAGGAGGAGGAGGAGGAGGGCGGTGCCCAGAAGTTGTCGCCCTGGGGGGAACGGGTCCTGAGGGAAACAGGGTCCTGAGGCCTCTCGCTGCTTCCGGGCTCTCGGGGCCCTCCACGGGCCTCGGGACTGTCAGAAACGACTGATGATGAGGACCCCGTCCTGGGGGAAGGGTCCAGGGTCCGGGCCCCTGTGTCCCTCGGGACTCGTTTCCCCTATGCCCACGCTGGGGCAGAGCCTGTCGGGGGCCGGAGGTTTCTGCAGGTGCACCTCCCTCCTTCCTCCCTCTTCCCACCCTCCTCCTCCTCCTCCTCCGACAATTCCCCTCCTTCCTTTACTTTGGACGCCCGAAATGGGTACGGAAAGAATGGGTACAATGCCCGACGACAAATGTTGTCTCAAATCAACAGCGGCCGCTGTTGGGCAGGCGGCCTCCTGTCTCAAACGGACACAGCCGCGGCGGCGCGGACAGCGAGTCCTGCTCAAAATGAACAGGAACTGCTGTTGGGCATTGTACCCATTCTTTCCGTGCCCATTTCGTTCGTGCAGATGTACGGGGGGGTACCTCCCTGATCTCCCCTCTGCCTCCCCCTCGCAGCACCATGCCAGGAATAAGGTGGAGTGCCGAGATGACGAGGAGCTGATGGCGACGATCGTCAAGATGTGAGGCTTCCAACCCGCCATCCACCCTCTGAAATGGAAATGGAAACTTTGTGATGCGGTTATACGTGCGACGCTTGGCCCCCTTTCGCTGTGCAAACAAGCGGCGTCCTGAACGAATGCCGAAGGCCGAGCAGGGCTTCTGGTGTTTCTACTCGCCCGCGTGCTTGAGATCGCCTAGACAATAAACGTAATGCCCCACTCATGGGCTTGACGATAGCTGAACTCTCGGAATTCTCAGGTGCGTACAGGCATGCGACCGCACATGCTCGAATGCGTATGTGCTTCCAGCCTCCAGATCCGAGGCGCCAAAGCCAGACGAATCCGCTGCCGGCGCGAAACACGACACGCATCACGAGGATGTGCTCCTTGCTATGTGACGGGGCCACTCGCACTGGCATGTGGTCCCGATGTCGCTCGCTGGGGATAAGCTGTACGTCGAGGCGATTCTCGAAGCAAGCTCGCAGCGAGAGACGGCGGTGCCGCACCCACGAGATAGACTCCCGCCGTTTCCGACACGTCAGATCGGTGAACAGCGACTGATTCCTGGTCGCCTGCGGCGTTCAACGTCGATCGCCCGCGGCGGTGCTGCCGCTGGTCGACACGACGCGAACCTACCGTGCACCTCTCCCTCCACAATTACTCAATATGAATACTACTCTCCCTCTTCCCCTGATGGCGTGCTGGGAGTAGTAGACCCCCCCCGCGTACTGTTTTTTTACACACAGGATTCCCGGGAGTTGGGTTGTCGCCTGCGTTTTTTTTCAAAATGCTGCTCTCGCTGAGGCGCCGGCTTCATTTCTGCTCCCGAATCGTTCCGAATCGTGCTCCCGCTGCAGCGTGGGCCTCATTTTCGAATCGGTGTTTGGCCTCCGTCGTTCAGGATGGCGTTCTCGCCCCAGCGCGGGCCTCTTTCTCGCGCGCCCATCCGCCCGCCACCACCGCGCCGCGCCACCACCACCACCACCACCACCACCACCACCACCACCAGCACCAGCACCAGCACCACACACACCAGCACAGCACCAGCACCCACCAGCACCAGCACCAGCACCAGCACCAGCCACCACCACCACCACACACCACCACACACCACCACCACCACCACCACCACCACCCACCACCACAACACAACAACAACAACAACAACAACAACAACAACCACGCACACACGCACGCACGCACGCACGCGCACCACCACCCACTACGCACGCGCGCGCGGAGCCACAGGTCCGCTACGACACGCGTCCGCGGATAGAGAAAATCAGCGCCATGGTAAGGGATGGGAGGGAGGGGTAGGACGTCAGATATGACGCGAGCGCACCTAGCTTGCCCCCTCCCCCTCCTCCTCCTCCTCCTCCTTCTTCCTCATCCTCCTCTTCTTCTTCCTCCTCCTCATCCTCGTTCTCCTCCCCCCCTCCCTTAGGAAGGAGAGGAACGGCCACCTCACCGTGCACGTGCTGGTCGACGCGACGCGAAGCTACCGTGCACGCGCTGGCCTCACCTCCTGGGGGCAAGTGGGGGCCCGCACGCTGGCGATGTGCAGCCCGCGCCACTGTGCCAGATGCCCCAGGTCCGCTAGGGTACCGGCCAGTAGCTCGCCCCCCTTGCCATCGCTCGGACGTCCATTCCCTGTGCTGTTTTCGGTTTCGCGCGTGTTTTTTGCAAAGTGATCAAGGATGCTCCTCGATGGTCCTCGCCGAAGGAAAAATGCACACGTCCGAGCGATGCCAAGGCCAGGGTACCAGCCAGTAGCTCGCCCCCGACGTCCTGAGATCTCGTGGTGCATGGTACCGGTGTATTTCATTCCGAGGCTGCTCGACAGGCTGAGCAACCGATCGCAGCCCAAGCAATCTGTGGCCTGCGTCATGGACGGGGCGAGAAGTGCCACGAGGAGAAGGAGGTCAGGGCAGGGACTCTTGACCCGTACATGCCCAAGTCGCCCCTGGATGCAGGAAGGAGACCTACAAACGCGCTTCACAACGTTAGGACGAGACGACGACGAAGTATGGTGCACCACCCCGCCATACAATTTGAATGCGAAGCCCGAGCCAAGCCGAAAAGAGTAGCCACTCGCCGATAGCTCCAGCCTTCACCAACATATCATAGCAGCGGCATCCACTCATGACATCCGAGTGCCCCGCATAAAGACCACATCCACGTTCAGGCGTGCGGCGATCTCGTCGACCCGACTGGCGGAAATTGAACTTAAGGGGTGCATGTGGCTACTCTCAGGGTTCACCGAACGAAACTGGCGATATATACATCTCCGCACATGCATCAGAGTCCCGCTGGCACGGAGAAAAGCCACCCACGCCTGTCTGCTGCACCCGCCTGGGACCAGGCCGACCCGTGCCAGGGTGCAGCGCTTGGTGGTGTGCTCACGACGTCGCCTCAGACTGCTTCTGAGCACTACTGACCGCTTGGAAGGACGACGAGGAGGAGGGACGAGAGGAGCGGAGAAGGGAAGAGGGGGATGACGACGACGACAACGACGAAGCGGGAGAGGGGAGGATGAGGGTAGAAGAGGAGGCGGTGAGGAAGAGGCGGGGGAACGCGTAGAGCAGGATGGGGGCTGCAGGCAGCCCCCGTGGAGAAACCAGTGAAGAGTTGATGCGTCGCCATGCCGTTTGTCCTCGACACGCCCACGTGGACGACGCCGCTCCCGCGGCAAACCCACGGCGGACCCTGCGTCCCGCGCCCAAGCAAACGACGCCGGCGCCGCGGCAAACCCACGGCGAGCCCACCGCGCCTGAGGCGGGGTTTGCACTGAGTGGCCTCGGCGCCCTTCCCAAGGCGTGAGTCCGCGCGTCGGAACAGACGGCACGGCGACATGTGAAGCCGAGAGGGCCGAGATAGAGGCAGGACGCCAGCGAGAAAGTGCTGGCTCTCTATCGTGCGCGCTGCCTGCGCAGACTCAATTTGCGCTGCGCAGGTCCGAATTAAGCGTCCGGGGGAGCGGGAAGAGGGACACACGAAGAGAGAACGCATGGTGAGCGAGTCTTGGACACCGCGCGGAGAAAAGAGCTGGGGCCAGGGAGCTGAGGCCTGTTCCTCGCATCTCCGAAAGAACTCTTTGTCAGAAGGTGACGATGTCGAATGAATTATGCTCGCTCCTGCATCCTGATCGTGTGACTTGTTTCTGGCTCTAGGGTAGCTGCAAGAAAGGACTGACTCCGATTAGTCCAAAGAGTAAGAAATCTGGGATCCCGCCCAGACTTTGGCTATCTTCTTCCATCTTCCCAAGGTCCTCATCTTCATCATGCCCCATCGTTCCCCCCAGTCTTCCTCCTCCTGTCCCACCTCTTTTACTGAAAGACCATGGAAACTTCGATGTGTGCCACATCGACGCTTTTCTGGTGGTTCGCCAGGGACGCAAATTTGATAGCGCACGGGTGTCACAAGGGAGCGAGCCACCTCCTCCGACTCCCCTCCTGCTCCTGCCTACCCGCCCTCTTCATCCTGCTATGCCACCTTCTCCCTCCTCCTCCTCCTCCTCGTCCTCCTCCACCTCCTCCACCTCCTCCCCCCGTCCTCTTCCCGCGCCCCTTCATCCTTCAATTGTTCCACTTTTTCTTCATCCACCTTTTTCCGTGCTCGTCCTGATCCTCCTCATCTCCCTCTTCGTGCTCCTCTTGGATCTTCTCTAGCTCATCGCCCCTGTCCTCCTCTTTAACCTCCCCCTCCTCCGCTGCCCAATCAGGAGGGCACCGGTAGTTCCTCTCTCTGTCGCGCTGCCCATCGCACGGACGTTGGACATTCTGATGAACACCCCTGGGGCCCGGATGGGCACAGCTCTCAACTTCCCCCCGGGGGCCCTCTTCCACGTCTGCGCCAACGGCATTCGGGTCACGCTTGCCGTTCGTAATTGCCTGTTTGTCGTAGTCCACGCGTTGCCGCGATTGCAAGGCGTCGTTCAGCTCCATCTCCTGATGTGTAGTGTCGAGCCTTATCTGATGGCCGGGCTCACCGCGTCACAGTTCCATGTGAACCAGGGGAGACCTCCGACGGTTGCTGCCAGGCAAAGCGCCTGCGCCTGTCATGGGGTGAACGCCAGATGTCTTTGAACCTGTAGGAAATATACATATATATATACACACTTATTTATCGCGGTGATGCATGGCGGCAGCGAGATAGTGTGTCGAAAACAGTATGGGGGGCATCCCGCAGCCTTGGCTGTTCTGGATATCGATGATGACGAAGCTGATGACTGATGGTTGATGACTGGTGGTGTCGAGGTGCAGGGTAAGGCTAGAGAGAAGGATAGCGATGCTGAAGATGAGGGGACTTAAGCATG